TGCTTTTTTTTTTGAAATTAACGATAGTTTATTATAAGGCCAAACTGACGCGTCAGAGGTTGGTTATAATTGATCGCCGCCGTATAACCATATCAAATTTATACCCTTTATTTGCGATCTACCCCTTAAATATATTTTAGCAATATAGTTGTACGAGAGTTAATGGAATTATAAAAATATTTTTAAGATATTTTTAATATATTTTAATAATACCACATAATAAATATATTTAGCAAAATTAGAGGTTTCTGCAAAGATATAAGTCGAACCTCGTTTTTAAGCTAACCTCTAACCAAATGTCACAAATACCGCCTCAGGTGCATGAAACAATAGAACAGTTCTTCAAAAGTAGTTCGACTTGGTCACTATTTTCGTTTCTCAAGTACAGAGAGTGTGTAGACGATTTCACATACGACAAAGTGAAAGAGCATATGTTATACAAGAGTGCTCTGAATTTGTTATCCAAAGATCACGATCAAGCTCGAAAGTGTCTTCTTAATTTTGAGGTTAAGTATTATATTTATTAGCGATTAAAGTAGACGAATCATGGTTGGGTGCAAGGACTTGAATACATTCCGGTCCCGAGACAAATACGTGATGTATTGACAAACCCTGAGTAGCCAGCTGAATTCGCTTTGGCGGGTGAGAGTGGAGTTCGTCTTCCCTCAGGCGTCCTTGAATAGACTTCGCGTTATTGCCATAACGCAACTGGATGGGTTCGTCCCAACTGGTTGTCAGACTTCGTGTTATGTTATGGTCCACTTTGATTCGTTAATAATACGGTAGTTTCAAAAATAGGTTGTTTAACTTATACTAATATCTGTTTTCTTTTCTATAAAAGAATGAGAGATCTTCTGAGAAAGTCCTCAATTTCTGGACAACGATCGAAAAAAAACGCTACGGGGATCTGATTGATATCGCAAGGGTAAGTGAAAAATACAGTGATTTTAGAGTATTGTTTCAACATGATGATCCTAATTATTAATACGACTGTGTTATAAGGCTGATGGTGTCTTGCGCATGTTAGAAGGCACGACCGCTGGTCAACAGCACGTTTTTAATATTCAGCAACAAGACCTCCTCGGTCTATACCAATCCGGCGACAATGATTTGGTAATTTACTGTGTGTTTCCTTATTTTCAAACCTTGGTGAATTGATTTATTTATACCTATTTAGACAAATACATCAATGATGACATTGTCAAATATTTTAAATCACCCAGGAAAGCGCAAGTCTGAGGGAGATCGTCAGCCCAAGACACCACCTATGAGACCTCGTAAAGTAACTGTTACGACCCCAGAAAAGCCAACCCTTTACAAACACTCTATGCAACACCTGGCTAAACATTTTTCAGTCTACGTTAACAATCAATGTGTGATAATGAAGGTAGATCATGTTGATCTAATTCCGAAAGAAATTCGTATTTGGATTGTAAATGTTTTATCAGTAAGTAGGCATAAATCTTTTTGGGCCTTATGTTAAATATTATTTAAAAAAAATTATTAACTACCAGTCAGAAAAAGATGTGTTCGAAAACAATATTATGGCTTCACTAAATTCAACTCCAGCCCATCCATTTCAGCAAGTCTGCAAAACGATTTTATATGATTTGTGAGTATATTATCACGGTCTTTATGTCCCTTTTAGCACAATTGGCTAATCCACCCTGTCTGAAATAGTTTTTCCATGACTGATAAAGGCCCATTGAATCGTTTTATCGGAGAAAGGAAGTATACCGTGGATAGGATAGTGCCTTTATTCAAGGCGATTCAATCGGTATATCGAGAGTATTCATTTGATTGGATCGAAGTACAAGCAAGTTGCATAAAAGATATAAAAGAATTGTTTCCAGAATTCGATTTCACACTAAATAAAGTTGATGGAATTGGTTCTAAGGTTTCAAGCAATAAAGAAATCATATTTATTGAAGTATCTGGAGGACCAGAGAATGCTGTTCTAAAACACATTAAAGAGGATACTGAAAAGCTCATCAAGGAGGCTATGTTTGGTTTGATCTCTTTGCTTAGAGGCTACCTAGGTAAAGACGCGGAAAAAGCAAGAAACATATGCGTATATATGGTGCAATGTATAGGTAATATACTTACTGTCATATAATTATAATTTCTTTTAATCTATATAAATCTTATTTTTGTTGTTCATGTTAGGCGATCGAATTACGCTAAGTGAACTCTGTCTCGATAAGAAGCATTTTTATAAAATTTCGCAGATTAAGTCTGCTATGCTACCATTTTCTTTTGATGAAGTTGAAAAATTCATGGAAGTCTTCGAACTATTATATGCTTTAATAGTGAGTATTTTCTATATGTATGTCATGGATATTGTAGGAATTTTAGTTTAAATTTTATGTTTTTATTCTCAGGATGGACTTAAAAAACAAACAAGAGAATTAAAAAAATTAATGCTTTCTGATCCTATTAGTAATGTACCCACAATTCGAGATTGGATCTGGGTCCCAAAAAATCTTTTAACGTGGGAAGCTACGGAAGTTATATATGAAGATTTAAACTATGAAGATTTGAACTATGAAGATTAATTTGTTTTATTTTATAAACCTTGTCAAAAGCTATTTCAGTTATATCAAAGTGAAATCATGCTATATAATGTAAATATAAGATATTAAAACAATAAACAATAATCATTTTTTAACGCAATTTTTCTTGGCAAAAGTGATCAGTGTGACTAGTGAACCAAGTCGATCTTAAAAATTCGACTTGACTAAGTCGACTTAAGTCGATTATTTATTTCAGTTTTTAACCAAAGTCGATTTTTTTAAAGATATTGTCACGTGATAAAAATACACCAATCATATTACATATCAAATATGTATGTATGTCAAAAGAACTAATTAAATTTAGAATTTATTCAAGATCTGGGTAAACGTTGAAATTCTTATTATTTTCTTTTAAAAAAACTAAATCATGAACACTTTCTGGAAGTAACCTATTTCTTTTATCTGTTAGTACATTTCTAGCTGTTGAAAATAAATGCTCAGATGGAACAGAGGTTGCAGGAATTGCAAGATACCGACAAGCTAATCGTGCAAGTAAAGGTAATGTTTTCACATATAAATGCCACCAAGAAAGTAGATTTTTAGTTTTATACTCCAGATCGTCGAGATCATATAATATCATTTGAGGCAAGTTGAAATATGTTTTTAATTCTGTATCAATTGGAGAGAATTTTTTAGTAGGGGTGGCATTATTAAAAAAAGATGCCAAGTTTGGAGATGGCTTTGCTGTTGGTTGGTCATCTAAATATTTATTTTCATCTAACAGCATTCTCATTTGCTGCTTTAGAGATATTTTTGTTTCATTGAATTTTTCAGAAACAAATTCTAGATTTTTAAACCTAGGATCCAAAATTGAAGCCAAATATCCTTCTATTACTGGATCTTCCCATTGACTGGCTATGTTAAGTTCTATTTTATTTCTAACATTACAAACAACTAGGTGAGTAAGTATTGATTCTACTTCAAATAGGTGTTCTTGAAGAGTTGCAATCGTCGGAAGCATAAGAGAAACTGTAGAATATGTATCTCTACTCATAAGAGATGTTGCTTTTGCAAAAGGTTCTAATAAATAAACAAGTTCTTTAAGGCCTAAAAATTTATGTTCATTTAATAATAAAGTTTCTAGCTTTTTTCTGTCTTTACAGGTTTCACAATCGATATTTTGAATCATCTTTTTTGTAAGTAATTGTGTAGATTCATACAGCAACAATAGATACTCTAAAAGCACAAAAGT